GGGGGTTGGTAGGGACAGAATGGGAAAGGGAAGGGATCTCATGGTTGGATTTGTGCATTGGTTGGATGAGTGGTTGGTGGTTGGATTATGGGAAGCGGTTCCGTTACTTGATACCCCGATTAGCTACCTCTAATTAATTACCTTTTGTTTATTTGCCTGGGTGTTGAAGCTCAATGGACATTTTCCTGACGCCAGGTGAGTGAGGAAGAGGTGGATGTGGTTGTGTAAGTGCAACCGTCACCATACCTACTGAATGGATATCGTGAAATGCCCTTTACGAAATCATCCCTTCTTCAAATTCCAGCTCATTTTTTTTTCCCGACCAGAGCTTTGTGTTCTATCAAGTCCGGACAAGACATCTTGGACATGCACATATCGCTTAGCACAAAAGCAGACGGAACGGCAGATACCTACGAGTAAAAATCTTTGCTGGCAGAAGTAAAAGCATTATAGTATTATGATTTCCGCTCGGGCCTTTCGCAAGTCCATATAGGTAGGTACATACATAACATAGCCTGCGAGATGGAGAGGGTTTGGACGTTGATACACGCACATACACACATACACACATACACAGACAGAGAGAGAGAGATACACAGAGAGATACACAGAGAGATAAACAGATACACAGAGACACGAAGAAAAAGGGGGGCTATACAGCGGCGCTGAAGGTGATGATAACAAAAGACCGACCACACCTTCCTCGAGGAAAGAGACCCCAGACGATGCGCCATCGCAGACTTTGCTAGAATTCCCAAAACGCCGAAATGCCAAAATGCCAGAGATCCCACCGACAACGCCAGATAGACGAAAGCTAGAGAGGAATTTTTTGTTTCCTTTTCCTTTTCCTTTTTCTTTTTCTTTTTCTCTCTTTTTCTCTTCTTTTTCTCTTCTTTTTCTCTTCTTTCTCTCTTCTTTCTCTCTTCTTTTTCTCTTCTTTTTCTCTTCTTTTTCTTTCTTTTTTCAACCCCCTCCCTCCCTCCCCTCCTTCAACACCGCCACAAACCTCGCCGCCAATTTACTCTTTCCCAGGACCGTCTCAGCAAGCGCCCAGAAGCTCCCACTAGTCAACAACTCCAAGACCTGCAAACTCGCTTCGAGCTCCCGCGTGATCCAATTCCGGATCTCAATCGCCACGAGGCTGTCGAGTCCGTAGATCACAATCGCCTTGCTGGCGTCCATCTCCTCCCTCGGTACCATCAGCACGGCGCTGACTTTCGTCATCAGCCCTTCGCAGATCAGATCGACAGCTTCCTCTCGCGATCGCGCCACGCTCAAGGCCGTGCCGAGAGAGATCGACGTGATGGGCGACGACGACGAGGAGGAAGAGAGTCCAGAGGCAGAGGCGGAGGCAGCGGCCTCGGCCTCGGCTTCGGCTGCACATCTGAGGTGCGCGAACTTCGCGTCGTTGACCCAGAAGAGCGCATCTTTCGCCTCGGGGGGGATCCGGAGTCCCGTGATACAGTGGCTGGCACACTCCTGCCTCATCTTGCCCGTGATGGCGGCGGCGATCAGCGCGAGCACTTCATTCTCGGAGATCGCTTCGGAGCCGAGGTTTTCGGCGACTTGGGCGGCGCGCTTCGCGGAGCCTTCGGCGAGGTGGCCGACATCGCTGACGGCGGTCAGGTCGATGGATGAGGCGGGGAGACCGAGCGAGATGCGGTGCTGGGCAAAGGCGTTCTGGAAGCAGTTCGCGGCGGCGTAGGCTGCTTGGCCCCTGTTTCCAATGGCACCGGATGCGGAGGAGAGGAGGATGAAGAAGGAGAGGTGTTGAGCGGCGAGAGCGTGGTGGAAGTTCCATGCACCGTCCACCTTGGCCGAGACGACGGATGTCCACTGCTTGTGGGTCATCTTTTCAAACAGGACGTCCTTTTTTTTTGTGGTCAGCAAAGCCAAATTTCCAAAAATGACACCCAGGGTAACTTACCTCGAGGACCATGGCGGCGTGGATGACTCCTTTGATGGGTGGGAGGGAAGACAGGTCTTCGGAAACGAGCTTCTCGACTTGCTCTCGGTTGGCTACGTCGCATGATTTAACCACGATGTTCGCGCCGACGGTCTCGGCTTCTGTAATCAGCTCGCCGACTTTTCCATCGGTCTTTCCGCTGCGAGACAGCAGGATGATATGGCGAGCTCCCCTCTCAATCATCCAGCGACTCATGCTACGACCCAGACCACCTGTGCCGCCGATGATTACATAGCTGGCATCAGCTAGCAACAAGTTTCTAGGCGTCTTGCGCGGCGCGGCCATGACTTGGCAATCTGCATTCGGTACGATGACAATCTTGCCCATGACCTTGCCTCCTTGCAGAGCGCGGAACGCCAACTCAACGGTGGACATGGGGAAGACGGTGATGGGCGAGATGGGTTTCACGAGGCTCTTGCCCATCAAGTCAAAGACGTCGGCGAGGAGTCTCTTCATGGTTTTCGGGCGTTCGGCGGCGACAACCGTCAAGTCCACGGAGGCGAACATGGCGTTGTGCTCGAAGCGAGCCATCTCGAGACGAGAATTGGATGTGATGTCGCGCTTCCCAATCTCGATGAAGCGTCCGAAGTGGGCGAGAGAGTCCCAGGTCTCGCGGAGTGCGTCTCCAGCGAGGGAATTGAGGACGACATCGATACCTTGTCCGTCCGTAGCGCGGTGGATGGCTTTTGCGAAGGATGTGCTGCGGCTGTAGAAGATGTGGTCCTCTGGGATGTGGTACTCGCTCATCAAGAACTCCTTCTTGGCCACACTACCGACTGTGGCAAAAATCTCGGCTCCGATCATTTGGCACAGGATGATGGCCGCTTGTCCAACGCCACCAGCAGCGGCATGGATTAAGACACTCTCGCCTTTTACTAGGCGGCCGAGGTCGAAGAGCGAGTAGTAAGCGGTACAGTAAACGACTGGAATTGTTGATGCAACCTCAAATGACATCGAGTCGGGGATCTTCTGCGCGGATGTGCCGCGACAGCGAGTATATGTTGCGTATGCACCTTCCGACATGGCAGATACACGATCCCCGACCTTCAAGTCAGTGACTTTGCAGCCGACTCCACTGATAATACCTGCACATTCCACTCCCAGTGACTTACTGGAGAGCTGACCCATTGAGATCATGATATCCTTAAAGTTCATGCTGGTGGCTTTGACTTCGATCTCAACCTCGTAGTCAGGTAATGGCGTGCCGACCGCAAGGTCGTCGGTGAAGTATATGGTGTCGAGCGCGCCGGGGCATTTGATGGCGATCTTCAAAGGTCTGCCGGGCTGGTGGAAAGGTTGCAAATCGGGTTCAGCAGAAGGCTGCGTCTCTTGGTGCACAAATTTGTTCATCGCCGCATCTTCGACAACACGGGGAACGAACAGAGCTCCATTCCGCTCTTGGAACTCCATGTTTGCACCCACAGCAGGCGAATCTGAAGAAAAGGTTCTCTCCAAGACCTCAAAGATAATCTCGGCAGTATCGGTACTTGAAAACCCGGGCGAAGTCCCAAGGTCTAGCGTCGCGAACTTCAGCAGTGTCTCCGAGCGAACACTGCGCGCCATGCCAACAACCATTTGAGCGTCTGGGTTCGAGGAGTCGGTATAGGCTCCTCGGACCGTCCATAAGATACCGGCAGCGCTGGAAACCATACTCTGGATAGCGTGGAAATCGGCGGGACTGAGTGTTGACACGATAGCTTTGGAGAGCTCTGAGATAACGATGCATACCTTGCCTTCGGTGTCAACGTTTCCCAGAGACCCTACGGCGGGAGACTGCTGCGTGAGGTCGACGATAATTTCCTTCAGGCTGGATACCAGGTCTTGCTGAGTGCTCTCGTCGCAGATGATCACAACCTCGCGTTCGAAAGCCGGAGGCGTGAGCATACCGCTGGTGCCGCTGAAGCCATGGACACCATTTCCGTAGAATCTACTCATCTCGTGCATAAATGTCTCGCTCGTCGCAGAAACGGGGGTGTCAGCGCCACCAGCATGTTCGTGCTTAGCATGCAGTGGCTCCCATTGAAGCTTGTAGCAGAGCTCGCGGTTCGCAGTCGAGCCAGTGGTCTCGGATCTATCAAAGACAGGAGTCATGACCAAGGACTCCATGCTGATGAGAGCCTCGTCTCCACTATCAGAGGAAGTAGCAAATAACGACAGCTTGGTTGCTGTAGGGTGCGCCGGTGTTGGGTTGCCCGTACCGAAAACTCTCAACCGATCACCACTCTTGCGAGTAATGCCAGTTGACAACGACATACTCTGGAGGAAGGACGGCATGTAGAGAACATCCAGTCCCTTCCAGCCGGCGCCAAAAATCGGCCACACTATCTGGATGAACTGATCGAGAAAAGCTGGGTGGATGATGAGATCTGGCTCGTAACTCTTGGGCATGATCGCCGCTGTGTCTGGCACAATTAGATCGGCGACAGCATAATTACCACTTGCACGACAGTTCTCGAGGCCTTGAAAAGTTGGGCCATATCCAGCTCCAGCCGCTGTAAGATCCTCGTACATCGCTGGCGTATCGACGTCTGCTTTGCACGCCTCGGTGAAGCAGTGTATCTTAGACACCAGAGCGCTCTTAGCATTCAAGATCTGCTGGGCTCCGTCAACAAGATTGCTATCAGCAGACTTCATCACAGAGATGAGTCCACGGCAGTGTTCAATCCAACTCCTGTCTTTGGCCCATGAAAAAATGCGAAATTCGTCCCATGCATCAGAAGAACTCCTGGTACCTTCTGTGAAAGGGCGGAGGGTGATGTTGGCTTCAACGTCTGAGCCTTCGTGGATGACGAAAGGTCTGCTCACCGTCACTTCACGAAGCTCGAATTTATCAAATGCCACGTTCCGCAGCGTAGCTCGCTGAGATGCTGCTTCTAGGGCCATGGCAATGTAGCCCGCCATGGGGTATACAGACATGTTTTGCATCCTGTGGTGTCGCACCCACGGCATATCATCTGCTCGGATGATGTTGCGCCATGTTGGCTCAAGATCATTGGAATAGCTGGCAAGTGTGCCGATGAGATCGTTTCTCGCGAAAGGTCTGTTTGTATGCTTCTCAGCTATGCGTGACTGGTGCCAGTATTTGGTGGAGTGATTCCAGGAGTATCTCGGAAGGTTGGTGAGCAGGGTCGGTACTCTGACACCAGGAAATGGGAAGTTTATTGCTCCGAAGTCGATGTCAACACCCTTCGTGAACATAGTCGCAGCGAGTTGCAATGCGGTGTCCACGGCATCTTTATTTCGTATGAGGGCCGATGCATATGGAATTCTGATAGCGTTCCCGCCAATTGACTTCAAGATCTGTTTTACTGGACCCTCGAGCGCTGCGTGAGGACCGATTTCGAGTAAAACGTCGACGCCCAGAGCATTGATATCGTCTGTTGACGTGCACATACTCTGTAAAGCCTCGCAAAAGAGAACCGGATAAGTCAAGTTCTCGACCCAGTACGCTTCGCCCAAATCCGCTGTTCCAATCTGGCACCCCTTCAGTGACGAGTGAAAGGCAACCGAGGAAGCGTCTTGCGGCTTGATATTTTGGATCGAGTCGCGATACTCTTCAGCTACAAGCTCCATGTGGTGTGAGTGGTAGGCAGTGTCAACACGGAGCTTTCGATTGAACAATCGCTTCGCTTCGACAGCCGCTGCCAGCTCGTTGATAGCCTCCTCATCTCCAGAAGCAGTGATGCTTGATGGACTATTCATACAGGCTACAGTGACCCGGCCTCTCTTCAGCATCTTAATCAAAGGCCGTATGCTGTCAGGACTTCCGCCAACTGCCATCATGGCACCCTTGAGGTCGGGGTACTTGTTCTTCAGTAGTACGATCGCTTGCCCACGGAAGTAGGCGATCGCAGCACAGGACTCCAGGGATAAAGCACCGGCAGCATAAGCTGCTCCGATTTCTCCACTGGAATGACCCGCCACCGCAGATGGCTTGATACCCCAGGACTTCAGCAAATCCGTCAAAGCGAGCTGTACCGCAGTGCAAGCAGGTTGACTGATATGAGCAGCTGATACTCGAGAAGATTCGGCGTCTTGGGATAACTCATCTAGCTTGTGTTAGTGAGAGCCATATTGGACTTGAATGTTCCCTTACCAAGCAGCGAGAAATCCGCGCCCAGATCAAGCAAATAACGATCCATCCTCCCCATGGTAGCCGCGAAAACAGGGTAAGCATCAAGGAGTTCGCGGCCCATTGCATGCCACTGAGCTCCCTGTCCAGTGAATACAAACCCGATTCTCGGCTCCCCAGTGGAACGAGACGAAGCAGTGTAGTTGCTCGCAAGGGCGGGGATCAGCTCGGCAGATCCCCGAGCCGGAATAGCGACCTTGTACGCAAGATGGGATCGTCTCTGCCCAAGAGTGTAGGCTAAGTTCGGCAAGAGAGAATTCTGAAAGACTTCTGGGCGCTGCTCTAAATACACGGTCAAGTCGTTCATACGAGCTGCTAGAGAAGACTTGTCATTTGCAGACAGAACATAAAGTCTCTTCGCCAGAGCTTTAGTTCCAGTGGCCAGCGTATCATTTGTTCCGGGTAGAAGAGTTCTAGGTGCGACAGGGGAGCGTTCAAGTACTACATGGGCGTTCGTACCACCGAACCCGAAATTGTTGACACTCGCGTATTTCTTCCCTCGTGGCCATGGGCGCTGATTTGTCGGGACCTGGGCTGTTAGCACAATCTCTCAAGGTGGCAAGCGTGGACCAACCTTTATTCCCCATTCGTCAAATGGGATCTTTGGATTGCCTGCCTCAAAATTGCAATTCGGGAGGACGAATCCCTTGTCAAGCATCATCGCAGTCTTGATGACGGAAACTACACCACTAGCGCCTTCCAAGTGTCCAATATTCGACTTTACAGAGCCGACGAATAGAGGCTGCTTCTTTGTACGCCCTTCGTCAAAGACCTCGTGGAGAGCCTTAGCTTCAATCGGATCTCCAACTTTTGTGCCAGTGCCGTGAGCCTCGACGTATCCCGTCTCGTTAGGGTTGAGGCCGAAATTCTTGTAAATCGACTTCATCAGCGTCACTTGAGCATCGCTATTAGGCATCGTGATCCCTTTCGTTCTACCATCCTGATTCATGCCAGATCCAGCAACAATTGCCCGGATCGAATCGTTATCCCTCAGGGCCTGATCTAGTGGTTTCAAGATCACGCAGCCAGCACCCTCTCCACGCCCAAATCCGCTCCCGCGGTGGTCAAATGCAAATGACTTGCCTTCGTTCGAGAACAGACTGTGACCACAATTTAGCGACAAACGCAACGACGGACGTTTCTTACGCAGAAAGACTAACCTCGACATAGACATGATGATAAAGTAGTCCGGTAAGATGTTCAGATGGCAAGACGCCACGATCGCTTGACTCGACTCGCCACTCCGTAAGCTCTGACATGCCAAATGTAATGCACTCAAGCTCGACGAGCACGCAGTATCAACGGTAAAGCTGGGGCCACAAAGGTCGAAGTAATAGGAAAGTCTGTTGGACAAGAGCGACTGCGCACATCCTGTAGCCTGGAAGTTGGGGACTGTGTCTATATCCCTACAATTTCGCAGCTCGTAATCCGCAAAGGAGCCTCCGACGAAGACGCCAACGTTTTGGCCGACCAAGGTCCGTTTTGGTATTCCGGCGTTCTCCAACGCCTCATATGTACATTCGAGAAGTAGCCTCTGTTGTGGATCCATGGAGATAGCTTCTTGCTCCGTCACGTTAAAGAAGGGGGCGTCGAATAGAGCCACATCTTCGTCGAGAAAATGACCACCCTCAGGGTTGTAGCAGCCAATTTTTTCTGGATTTGGGTGATGGAATGTGGAATGGTTGAATCTGGACTTCGGCACAGGTGACCATCCACTGCGAGCACGAGAGCACAGCTCCCAGAAGTCATCTGGGGTCGAGACGTTGCCGGGAAGGCGACAACCCATGCCAACAATGGCGATGGGCATGCCTGAGTCCTTTGATACCTCAGTTATCGTTGGAGAATCATTGGTCTGATCATCGGTCGGGATGGTCCTACGGCCATTGCCTACTTGTTCGATGTATGTGAGTGACGTCTCATGGAAATCTCCGTTCACAACAGTCGTGGCTGATGGCGCCATGATTCCAGGAAAGCAATATATTGAATTCTACGGAACTCAATTAATTAATTAATCTGCACAAGGCAAACAGTCAACATTGTGGTCCGCTCTCCCAGCTAGATTTGTCTTAGGTCTGGGTATACATACTATTTACAGCTCTTGATAGCCGAGGGAACGAGCGTACAGAGGATAGAGGGTACCATCAAAAATTGACGCGCGCGGGGTATATGAATTTGTTGCGCTCTGCAAATCCAAAAGTGCTCTTAGTCTCAGCATCTGATGTGACAAGTTCACCTAGGCGTTGGCTTGCATTGTACGGAGAACGCGTGTGGGGTCGTAGTAGGTAACCTCAAGGAGGGAATCCTCATAGACGTTGACCTTCTGCAAGCCCAAGCAAACAAGTTGATCAACAAGATGATATGTGACGTGTGAGTACAGAAGCACCGCTCAACGTCAACCAGTCTTGAAGCTCTGACAAGGTAGTAAGGGGTACTACCAGGAACCGCAGCATCGAGGCATGTGAACCTCGAGATGTAAACCTGGGGAAGCGTCTTGATATGGGGACTCACATGGCTGAATGGAACCAGACCCACGACGCCCACAGACGATGGAGCCGAGCCATAGCTGGATCACTACTGAAGTCCGTCTGGAATTTGGCGAAGCCGAATGCACTAAGCGAGCCTAAGATTGCCGACCACAAAGTTCTGTTTGTGCTCGAGACTGCAGGAAGAATCCGCAGGCTTAGGTAGGACGAAAAGATCGATCGTTACCCACCATGTGTGAGGTGACAGATGGGACGATTGGGCTTGATGCTAGGGAGAAGGCAGGGAAGATCACGGCGAATCCGATCTGATCACGGAGAGCAGAACTGTGGGAGCGGGTGGGGGGGGGGGGGGGGTAGTTAGGTTGGTCGA